TACAAAACTCATATTCTTATAAATGTAGTAAGAAAAAAAATCACAAATCAATACGATTCAAAAGAACATTCCCGGCAGCAGCCTTTTTAAATGATYGTTATTAGACTCTCTGCTGCATGCCCAACTAAACAACCCTTTTTGAATAGAGGTTTTAGCTTTTTGCAAGATTTAAACCTTATTTCATAGACCATTATACCTTTTTTTTTACATGACCAAAATTAGTTAACCAAAGACTTAAAAAGTGTTTCCCACATGTCAAGCGCTGGGATTGATGGGAAAAATTAGTAACTAGCATCTCATCTTTACTCCAGGCCCCTGCTGCTGGACATAAACATGGGAAAGAACATGCTCAGTTTTACTTACTATTCCAGCACAGATTTTAAAGAAGAAAAAATGACAGACGGCTCAGACCAATTAAAAATTGTTTCACAGAAAGTGGCATTGATTAAAAATCTAAGACTAATGGTTAGAAATATGACTGTGGTATTTAAACAGTGAAGTATTTTTTTTTTCCGTATCTAGAGTTGGTCGGTATTCATGCAGGGATCAGTTTGTATTTTATGTTGAATATAAAATAATTTATATTAATTGTTGGTGTTCAGTGGATTTAATGATGTTTATATGCACATTTACCAGCTGAAATGCACTTCACATGATTTGTGGCAGGCTGATTGTTACTGTTAATATAATGCTGTCAAAAAACATTAGCAAATATTAATATTTGTAATGTTGCTAGACTGATTGTTAAGATTATATTGGAGTGCTTACTTGATAAGGTGATGTGTATTATTCTGTCTCTTGTTTCACAGGTTTTCCCACTAGATTATATCCTGATCACCATCATCACCATGTACTTTGTGCTAACATCTATGGCAGGCATTCGCAACTTGGGCATCTGGTTCCTTTGGATAAGAGTGAGTAATGTCCAACTTCGGGGTTGCAAAATAACAAAAACAAAAAACAAATCAATACTCAAATCCTAGTTAAAACATCAATGCGTTTGTCTTCACAGCAACAACCAGTAGGGATAATACATTACTTTTGCCCATTCTGTAGTTTTTTTTATTTTGTGTAGATTTTTTCCTTTTGGTTTTTGAATTATTTATTTTTTAATGATAAATTGCATCACAATCCCCTTTGAGTTTCTAATCAACATTAGATGGAAACAGCAGGTGTTTAGCAGCATTAAGGGTAGCAAAAATTCACTCTTTCTATCATTTTTGTAATCACTATACTGCAAAGAAACATCGTATGTATGGTGGAACATGAAACATTTGGGCTGAAAACCAATTTGCTGACCTGACATCAAACCTTACACACAAAACACTCATGAATCAAGACCGTGCAACATAAACTGTCCAGACTGGCAAAATGTCAGCATGTATGCCTGAAGCATTTTAATAGGAATAATTGTATCGATCTGCAGAAAAGTCTGAATTTTAGCCACACTAGATTCGATTAGATTTATGGGTCACAATTAGTTTTAGAATAAAATCTTCACTTCAGAAACGTCTCAGCTCATTAGAAGTGTAACGGATTTGTCAAATAGTTACCGTATTTATTCAAGTATAATACGTAAAATTTAATCCATAAAATCCTCCATAAAYTTGAGGGGTAGTATTATACTCAGGTAAATATTTTTACTCATGTATTTTAACTGAAATATCGGCAAAATGCCTGAGTCCGGAAATGAGACCGCATTGTAAAAAGCAGTTGAAACTAGCTTACCTCTGACACTCCTCTGTGCTTCAGAGTGAAATAATAACAGATCCAGGCAGGCGACATGATGTGAAAAAAGAGGAAAAAGCAGTCCTGCAGCTTAGTAATGATAACAAACTAATGACATTAGCGTGTGACCGAGTCGCTCCTTGAACAACAACAAACACATGTTGTTCTGTAATGGCTGCCATCTACCGGTGTTCTGAAAAAGTTTGTATCCCTGAAAAAACGTTTCCCCACCTGAGGAGGAGCTCATGAGTAGGAAGTAATCTGCTTTTCCCCCAGAAGATGGCCCAAATCTCATGTGAAGTCTCCTACTTTTGTGTTGGCACATCCTGGTGGACTATGTGTAAAATGCCAGAATTCATATGATACTGCTACAGCTGATATAAATTTGTTGTCAAAATACCTTTTAGTACATATGTTAAAATAAAATGAACAGCCCAGTGATCATTTTACTTATATGTATAAAGACTGCAAAGGCTGAAAAATCTTGAAGTCTGTATGAAAATGGAGGTAGTTTGAGGATTAAAATTTTTAAGCTTTTTAAGCTCAAAAAAGGGGGGTCGTATTATACATGAGATCATATTATACACGAATAAATATGGTAATTGCTTCAAATGCAACTTGTAAACACAATGCAAATTCTTCCATCCTTATTCCATCACTGACTAAATTATTCAAACATTTGTAGTGGAATCCAGAGGGAAATCATTGAAACAATTGTGGTAAAATAGATTTAAGTTGTGCTTATATTTTTGTGCCAGTGCGCTTAAGATTTTAGCCTGAAGCCTCAGTACTACTAGTGTTCAAAGTTAACCAAGAGCTGTTTTTATTAAAACACTGGCATTTTGTACTTTGTTGTAATTTCCCAATMCTATCAAAATGCACTTATTTTCTTGAGTTTTTGAACTTCTAGTAGTTTGACTAACCTAAAATGTCTATGGTCTTTTTCCAACTTTTTTAGTTGTACAAAATACGRCCCAAGAGAACACGTCCTCAAGCTCTTCTGATCCTCTGCATGATTCTCCTTCTGATTGTCCTACACACCAGCTACATGATCTACAGTCTGGCCCCACAATATGTCATGTACGGCAGCCAGAAGTATGTTGCACAGGTGGGAGTGGAATTCATACACATTTCTAAGTCTTTCTAGTTTGTTTAGTTTTCCTGACGAGTGCGAACTGTAACATTGGGTTTCCAAGAAAGGCTCTGTCAGTCAGTGGGATCAAACTACTTTGGTCCAGCTTGGTGTAGGCAGCAGTATGGTCTCTATGGGCTGGCAGCCAGGCTTTGAGACTCTTGTTCTTTTTAAATTCTGTCTATCTGTCAGACAATGTGGCTTTTGCTGTGTGGATCTGTTTTTTGACAGTATACCCTCTGTGTGTTCTGATGTAGCTCTGCTATATCTCTGTGGGGGTGTATGCATTTGGTTTCAATAAACTAGTGTGTGTGTGTTCTTTCTAAAAAAATATATATTTTCATGCTGCATAAATCAAATGAACGATGGTGCTGTGTTGCTAAAACATTGTCTTTTTAACTGAACTAAAGAAATCTTTTGCAAACTAGCTGTGTGATTCACAGGGTAAACATGTTTTATTTATACTTGGCTGTTTTTTTCACCTTCAGCATTTTAAATTCAATTTGTTTCTTTGCCATGCTCGCAACTAAGGTGCAGAAACTTAACCACTTTATTAGGTGCTTATATTCAACCACTTGTTAACATAAATAGTTAGTCAGCCGTAACAATTGGTTATTTAAGCTGTCATTTTTCCTCTGACCTCTTGACTTCAACAAGCCATTTTAAGCCCCATGACCAGTGTTAATAAAACATTTTCTCTTTTTTTTTTTGTTTTGGATCATTCTCTGTGAAAATTTGAGTAGGTCATTAGCTTCTGAAATACTGAAACCAGCCTGTCACCAACAATCATGCCAAGTCACATTAATTCCCTCGTCCTGATACTTGGTTTAAATGTCTAAATGCATTGAGTTGCAGCCATGTGATTGGCCAATCAGCTGTTTCMGTTAAGAACCATTGAACAGGTGGTATCCCAGCTAAAGTAGCTGGTGAGTTTGCGTGCCTCCACAATAGTTAGAGCTYAATAATTTCACCTTTAATTAATGTTAGACTAAATCTTCAGCTTTGCCTTTATTACAGGTGCATGTACATCAAAGATTTTCCTGCCTTTGGAGTCCCTGAAATGAGAGTGGGCCTTGGATATTATGGGGGTTGCTGTGAACTAATAGCTTCTTCATTTTGTTAAACTCTAACAAAACTAGTTTTTTCTTTTTCTTTTTTTCTGTACATCAGAGCCAGGTGCCCACACCAAGTCCCATGTCTGGAAATGGCACCACAAGGATATGTGATGCAGAAGCACCTACGGGTGAGTTTCCTATCACATTGTCAAAAATCTTGTCCTTCCAGATAGAGTCCATATTAGAAGAAATATCTGTTTACATCCAAACTATTTGACCATCGTTATCATTACTCATTAGAGCAAATTAAACCAAGAACAAACATTTCTCCTGCAAGATATGGCTGATAGTTGTCACCATGCCAGTGCTTATTAAGATATGTCAGCCATGAAAACATAAATGTGTAAATGTACATCACACCAGTGAGCTTTATTATGATAATTTATTCATTTGACTAATGCTCAGGTCTTGGTCCATCTGGTAGTGGGGTGGACACTGGTGCAAAGGCAAAGATGGATTTGAAATACAGATTTGTGTAGAACCACCTTCCATAATGTATTTTCTGTATGTAGGAAGTCTTACTTTCCTACCTCTGCGTTATAGTATTTGGCTTTCATTGCTTGTAATACAGAAAAATAAGATTGAACAACATACGTACTTTCAATATGATATAACATGTAACTCAGGCACATGGTTCAAATTAGAGCTCATTCTTGTTCAGAGTTCAGTTTTGATATTTTTAGTATGATAACCCTACACCCAACTTGTTGGTCATTTGAACCATTGCTGTCAATGTTCAAATTCCTTTTGATTGATTTTATGTAGCAGTAATATTGCACGTACATACACATCTAGTACATTCATTATTAGTACTTGGATAACACAAGAAAGTGAGAAACACTTTGAAACTAGTCTGATATCTGCATGGGTGATTGTCCTTCATGAATGGGGACTCACTCGTAAGTAATTTGGTAGCATGTTGTGAACATAAAGAACCAGTGACTAGTGGTTCTAGGTTTCTTAAAACTTGGAGCATACCCAACGGGAGGTGCCAAAGTTAGTTTTTTTTTCTTTTCTTAGAGCAGTTGAATTGCATTAAGCTGAAAGGTTATAGATTTGTTGCTCATTAAGGCTAAAACATTACTGCCTACCTTAGCTTTAAAACAACTGCCAAAACATCGTATGTGTTGCTCTTTTGCTGACACATCTGTTCAAACTCACCGGGACAAGGACAAAGGGAAGRCTATCGAAAAAGGATGTTTTTGGCCCTATGGTGTTATAAGATGTGGTTGTTTCTGCACGTGAGCGTTGGAACTGTTGCTGAGAGCATATTTGCACCAGCTGTGTTATGTGTGGTTGGTATTGGAACCTGAGGCTTATTTTGCTTCACATGGTAACGAATTATAGAACTTGRATTCTGGCTGTGTGACAAGTGCGTCATAAGCGCTACTTAAACATCTGCGCACCATGTAGCATTGCAGATGATGGCTCTTTTTTCCTTTTTTGCACATGAGCAAAGTGTTAGAGAAGCAAAAATACATGTGTAAAACAGTTCCTTGTTACTGTACAGTATTAAGCTAATGTTTGTCACTGATACACATTTAACTGTAATTTTGTAGAGTAGTTAAAACATATGTCATACAAGTTGAGAATATAAACACTTTTATATTAGTTGCATGCTATTAAATAAATAAATTAAGCCTTTTTWGTTGGTCTTCTAGCTTTAGCAACAACTGAATGTTAATTTTGAATTTCTATAATGACTACTATTATGACCCCCGCACGTGAAGCGTAAGCGCGAGTCATATTGTTTTCGTACAGTTTTTTTTTTCCAGTGATTTTTGGTCAACCTTAGCACAAACACAGCTGTAGATGAGTCCGACCTACACTGCGCCAGCCAACGGCTTTACGATAGACCCCCAAATTTGAGGAGGGGGCTCCTTTCAAAGAGGGGGTGTCTGGACATGCAAAAATGCTTATAACTCAGTAACTGTTCAACAGAGAAGCTTCAGATTTCTTTTGTTGTTTAGCTCTGATGAAGCTCTATCCATCAGGCCCATCAAAAAAAAAAAAAAAACACCCAAGCCACTACAGTTTTGGGATGCACCTAGTAGCATGACGTTTATTAGGAATAAAGTCTTCTGAGTTCTAGTGCATTTGTGCGTGCGGGGGTCATTGTGTTACCGCTTTGTGGTATCTAGTTTTTTTTTTTTTTCCACTTAACATAAAACTTTGATAGCAAAGGGAAAATAAATTGTGGAACCTGAGAGTTAGAGCGTGGTGCAGCTTGCAATGCCCCATACTTCACWAATACTCCTCCCTTCACCAGCTAGGAGGCATAAAAACAGTGGATGAACTTCAATCTTGTAGTCCACCTTAGTCATATTGTTATTGATATGCATGTCAGGWGGAAAAACGTGTCTAAATTTTGGCCTTGAAAACACTTCTTGAAAGGAGCAACAAACATATTGTAATGGAGGATGTGTTTAGCCCACAACAATACTGACTTGAATGGTGCARGCTGAAGTACCGTAACCCCAAAAATTGTACCAGAGCAATGAATATTAACATGCTAATCAATGTTTTCACTTCACTTGTCAGTGGCTTTATTATTGTGGCTGATTGGTGTTCCTCCTCAGTTCAACCACTTATACCTTAGAGTGAAGTCATCTACACAAAACACGTCTACCTTCCACCGGCAGGAGTGTTTGGCTTTCTGAACATGTTTGTTATTGTTACCGGAAGATTATTTGTGCGGTGGATAATTAATGATTTAAATTGTGCATAAATGCTTTCTCAAATGACAGTTGACACAAGTGGAATGYAATTAGAGTTGCTAATGAGATTTGATGTGTTAAAATGTCAAGTGTGTAATAAACTTAGACAGATTTTCAAATGTAAAAAGTTGGGTAGGAGTTGTTGCTTCCTACTGCTCTTTTTTATCGACTGCATCTTAAAAGTTTCCATTGCATTACATATTGTGTTTTGAAAAAAATAAAATAAAAAGGGAAGTCAAACTGTTTAATTATAATGCCAGAGTTTGGATTAGAAACAAAAACTCTTGTTACCTCTGCCTAAGATTTTATATAAATCGTTAACCTGATTTACACACATTCTTTGTAGTAGTATGTAGTTTAAACCAGAGGTTCCCACATTTTTTTGTATTATATTCCAGCTAAAAATGCAATTTCTCAACAAATGGTTGGCGATAAGAACAGAACAAAAGAAATCAAACCACTCTTAAATAACAGTTCAATATACAGTATTATATTTTAAAATAATGTTTGAAATACCGATTTAA